GGGATTAGTTTTTGAATTACAACCATATAAAAAATCGATTTGGTCGAAAACTGGTTTTGCGTAAAAATTCCCGTTTTACTGTCACTTTTTTTTTGTTTTTCTCGATTTTTCTGAAAACTGTTGGAAAATGTTTACTTTTGACCTGTATAATGCATGGATATTCACTTTTCCATCGGAAACCACCCCCAATGTTTGAAATTGAAGCATTATTTCGACTAGTTATGCTGTACACAGACACAAAAAAAAACACACATAATTGTAAAATCAATACATTCATCACTCCGTTCAGAATYTAAAATGCACATAGCACTAACGATATAATCATACAGGTTCCTACACAATTTGTTACGACATGGGAAAGGAAAGGAAAACACGGTTCAACTTTGCTGGACACCTGGTTATTCGGGTATCATCGAAAATGAGATGGCCRTTGAGGTAGCAAAAGATGCAATTACTAACTCTGTATAGCAACAGCAGTTCAACTCGTAACCAAACAAGATTTAAAACCCATAATAAAATTGCACTGTACGTCTGTACCAATAAGTGGCAGGCATAATGGAGTTTCGTGCGCACGAAACTCCAYGAAATAAAGCAAGATGTGTTCATATGGACACATCCCACATATAACTTCCAAGAARGTTTGAAGTTATCCAACTAGACTATGGATTGGCACACACTATAATCACTCATAGCCATCTAATGAGTAAAAATGACTCCCCAATATATCCAAGTAATATAAAAGATATCAGAAATTTTAAAATATGGTCTTTAAGACTACTTAAAAATTCTAACAATCGGAATTTGAATAAATGTTCTATTAAAGGAAAAATGGAGATGAGTATACTTAAAAAATGACCTTGACCTTGTATACATTATCATATACTTAAAGTATAAAACTATATTTTTATAGAAACCTTCATGATTCTGGGAACATTTTATAAATTATTATTATATATTTAAATATTTAATATTAGACTAAATAATGTTTATAATTCTACATATTTTTTTTTTTTTAATAATAAAGATGTTATGTAATTTATCATTTTGAGGGACCACATTTTACTGAGGAAAAAACTGTGGGTCAGTTAACCTCCTAAACCCCATCTAGGTCCACCCTTACAGCTAGTATTATTTTATTTATATGAGAATTGTTTTGCTTAAAATTATAATATTGTTGTCCTGACGTATATTTTTCATAGGTAGTGTATTGATTGCCTGAGAAATTATGATAAATCAAAGTTTTGTGTTTTAAGTG